GGGGGGGGGGGGGGGGGGCCTGGGCCTTTCGTGTGTGCGTGTCGTGTGTTTCTACGAATCGAATGAGGCTCTCTCTTGCTTGAGGCAGCATCCACGCATCCACCTCATCTTATCTAACCATACCGATACGCTACGCCTGCCTCTCTCGACTCGAGTCCGTGTACTCGCTTGTCTCTCGCTCGCTCTCCCCTGCTGCATTGCATGCCTAGGTTTTTTGCAAGCCGACTGACTAACTGACGCATCACACCCACACATACACACACTCACACACAGACGAAATGCGGGCCATCGGTCAGCCAGTAAGCCAGCCCGCCATCTGTCTTATCTCTAGTGATCTAGATGAGGAGGAGACAGAGAGCCCGTCAGCGGACCGCTCTCTCCCCTCCAATCCCTCCCCCTCCCCAATGCCCCTCCCCTCCCTCCCCAATGCCCCTCTTGCCCCCGACACAGATGGCCAGACAATGACTGAGTGTAGACTTTGGAGCATAGAGCAGGTAGCCGACTAGAACTTGTACAGGCGGGCGAACAGATATGGGGAGGGGAGGGAGGGAGGGGCAGCGAGATACGTACGTATGTTTGCAAGAGACAGAGAGCAGCCGAGTGTATGGTAGCTATGCATTATCTTTCCTCTCCACGGCTGGCCAAGTGTAGGTAGGTAAGATTGCCTTTCTCTTCTCAGCGATTGCCTAATCCAATCCGATTGATTGCCTAATCCATGCCTGCTGCGTGCATGACCATGACCAGCTCACTCACTCACTCACTCACTCATTCGATGATGGAGCCTTTTTTTCGTCCGCTGGTGCGCTGGTCGGCCGGCCTGTGTGTGACGATGGATGGATGCGGATGCATCTCAGCGAAGCACGGCTGCTACTACTCAGCCACTTCTTCGCACTTGTCTGGCCGAGCCAGGTCTGCACCCAGCCAGCGCCGATCGCAACACACACCACATCACACTCCACGGACAGTGTCTAAGTGAAAGGATGCCCGCATGCTCATGCCTGACCGGCGCTCGTCGCTCTCGTCTGTCTGTGTGTCTGCCTGTCTGTCTGTCTGTCTGTCCGGTGTTTACAGCTGGTAGTGAGGTTTTGGCGACCCTCAACACAATCAGTCTGCGTGCCTGCCACACGAGTTGAGTTGATACCGGTCCGACTGCCTTCTTGGCTGCCTGGCGGTGGTGATGTGTCTGAGAGGGAGAAATGGTGCGTATCGTAACCATGCGGTCGGTTGTGTGCAGTGATACAGTGATATGAATGAAATGGGGCGTGGCGTGATTTCTGTCTGTGTCTGTCTCACGCGCGTATGTCTGTTTGTGTGGCATGTCGGCCGGGTTGGTCTCAAGTGTCGCCGGCGGTCCGGTCGACATGCGATGCCTTTCCAGCCGAGTGCCACAGACAAGCGGACAGACGCACACCGAAGCAACCAAGAGATGGCATGCCAATCGACGCTGTACGTGTCGACCTGCCTCACTGAGTGTCCTGTGCCATGCATGGAGTGGATGAGTGGAGTGCGCTGTGGCGGGCGGAGAGGAGAGTGTTAGGGTTTTTTCCTGCCTACTTTTGTACAGACGGACAGACAGTTTATCTATCTAGCAAGCAAGCACTGCAGCAAGTATGTAAGACAGCCGGGCGATGACAGCCACCCACTGGCACCCACCCACCCACTGCCCACCGAAAGACGGGGGGAAGGACAGGCCAGAAAGACGGACAGACAGACAAGAGATGATGGTTGGTGGACAGACAGACAGGACACAGCGGACCGGACGGTCGAAAATGAAAATCAAGAGAATAATGGCCGGCCCAGGGCAAAGGATATTCTTGACTTGTCGCTCTTGCACGCACGAGTGTCATGTCGTGTCCATGGTTGGCACACACATACACGCGTCTGTCTGTCATGGATCATGCCAGTTAGGTATACACCATTGGTCGGTCCCGTCCATCGATTCAATGCATTCCCCACCCATCCATCCATCTATATATCGCGTCTACTGCTGCTGCTGCGCCGCGCCTCGCCTCGCTGGCAGGCAGCATCATGCTCCGGCCCCTCCCCACTCACTTGTCGGTGCGGGGGCGCTTGAACAACAAAATGTGCGGCTCCGGCCTGCGCACACCGGGAGGCAGACACAGAGCATCCATCCATCCACTGCCACAGATGTGATGCGAATGCATTGCAATGCAGGTGCGTGGGATGGATGGAGATCTACCCACTTGTATATGCCGTAGTGGCGCCAGCCGCTGGACTGTGTGAGGTGCAGCACCTCACGCCACTCCTTCTCCGTCTGCACACACCAGGGAAAGCGACGAATGATGGATGTGCCATTGGATGACATTGGATGGATGACCGTGGGCATTTCCCCAGCTGTGGCTTACATACCAGGAGTTCGTCCTCGCCGTTCTTCCGTTTCTCGCGGATGCACTCGTCATAGATCTTCTTGGTCTGCGAAGAAAGAACCACCATCCAGCCAGCCAGCCAGCCATCCAGCCATTGGCCTTCTCTTGCCAGATCCATCATTGTCGGACCGACCTCTTTGTCGAGTATGACGTGCCGGAACTCGTGGGTGTCGTCGCGATAACGCTCACTATAGGACGGCTTCGCCAAATGCGTCGCCATGGCGTAGCGGCGGAACTTTCTTTTTCCGTTTACTGATGGGCCAGGATGCGGCCATTTATATAATGCAATGGATGCATACCACCACAAATTCCATCGATCCATGACGTATTCACTGTACACATGATGCACCACAGAAGCGAAGCATCTACTCCCCCCCGTACATCATCTAGCTATCCCCGTCAGAAATCGACTCAGAAGGCTCCGACTGCGTCAGGCTGCCCGCCGATTTTTTCTTCCCGTCGGTGTCGGCTGCAGGGACCACACCGGTCTCTACGTAGTCATCGCTATCGATGTCCCCGTAGCTATCGTCGTCGTGAGCCGCCTCACCCCCCTCATCAGCACCATCACTATCATGGCCCAGCGGGTATTGGTCACCGCCGCCAGCTCGAGGGAAGTGGGCCTCAAGAATCGCACGACACTGTGAGCAAGAAAAGGCGGGCCATACGGTGAGGGGAGGAGCTGGGTTGCCTTGTGTATTCATATATGTGTTGGTTGTACTGACCTTATGTGCGATGGTCGGATCTTCGCTGTCCTGCAGCTCGATGATCTTGTCCAGGCCGCCAGCCTCTTGCACCATCATACACCAGAGGTTGATTGGGTAGCCCTCACGCACCTGCACCTGCCACCCTTCACTGCACGCATTGGACACACAACGAGGATGCTTCGTGTGCCTGTATGTGTGTGCGCAGCATGTGTGAATATGCATACTATAGGATGTTTGTGAGTCCGTTGAGGGCAACAATGGTCTCGTTGCGGTCTTAAGCTAGCTCTAGGAGACGACACAGGGGCTCCACACATCCACAATTGGCCAGAGATTCAACCTGAATGAAGAAACGGGGGTCACAGAAACCACCCCACTGACCATGTTGATTGTGTCTCCCTCTGCGTACCTGCTGCTGTGATCCGGCCGTCGCTGCATTGGCAATGACCCATGCGGCCTCTTGGCCCACCCACCACTCGTCTGTTGCGACCATTTCGACCAGCCGAAGTACCAGGCCGCCATCGATAACTGCCTGGATGTGCTGACGCGTGCCTGCACAAATCAAACATGCGGCGTCCTCTGTAGCTCCCCACCCAGCCACCTACCGGCCACGAAGTTGGATACGACCCAGCACGCCTGTTTGCGAAGGTCGTTCCTAGGTGACAACAGCAGCACACTCAGCTGGGGAAGGGCACCGCACTCGATGAGCGCCTGACGGTGATGATCGTCACCTGAACGACACACAGACAGAGTACCTATTGGCCCCTCGGGCTTGCCACCCACCCACCCACCAGTGGTGAGGACGTTGCCCACTGTTCTCAGGGCAGATGTCTGGACTTCCAAGCTGGCGTTGGTCAGCAGATCCACTACACGGCGGCACGCGCCAGTGCCCATGAATGTGTCGATCTGCCCTGCCGGCCCGTCGGTCAGGTAGGCCAGTGCCCAGCAGGCGTTGATGAGCACTATTTCGTCTTGCTGGGGAGTGTTGATGAGGCCGACGAGAGGCGGCAGGGCGGGTGACACCAGACCGAAGAGGGGCCTTGGCCGGCCGCGGCAGAGACCCACGAGCGTCCAAGTGACAGCGCCAAGGAGGGCGAATACCGTCTCGGTATCGCGCAGGAGGTTGAGCAGCGGCTGCATCACCCCAGCCTCCAGCACCAGGTCGCGGTGTGCTGTCGAGTCGTCTGCGATGTGGCCCAGTGCCAACACGGACTGGACGCGCACAGCGTCGTCAGGAGACGCCAGCAGCTGCATGAAGAGCGGGATGGCACCCTCATCGACCACCGCCTGGATCTGCTCCGATGTGCCCGCAGTGATGTTGGTCAGCGCCCCCGCCGCTTCGAATTGTAGTCTCGGGCAGGCCGAGTCGGCGAGTGCCTGGACGAGTGGTTGGATGACGCCCGCATCGATGGACTCCTGGATGGGCGGCTCCTCTCCGATGGACAGCAGCCTGCGAACTGTACTGGCGGCCTCGAGTTTGATGGCTGCATCACCGCCGTTGAGTCCATTGGCCAGGACGTCGAGCAAAGCTGTCATGCTGACGCTCTCCGAGACGCTTTGCTCGACGTCATAACACATCTTGGCAAGGCAAAGGAGATCCGCCGCCATGACGCGCACCCCGAGATGAGTGGACGGGTTCGAGAGAAGCTGCACCAGCGTCGGGACAGAAACCGCACCCGCAGCTGCCAGAGATCTCACCGCCTCCGCCTGGAGCCGCGGACGCCAGCTGTTCTTGAGCAGAGTGTTGAGCACCGGCACCACTCTGGAGTCGACGATGAGCTCACGCGGCGACGGGCTGAGCCGCCGCTGGAGCTCTTGGAAGGTGCTTCCGTGAGGTTGGTTTTGCGCCACGGGAAGATCAAGGACAGAAGAGCCGACCGGGCGGCGGCAATGATGGACAGAATGCCACCCATCACAGAGTGGAAGCCTGGAGAGAAAGAAATAGAGAAGTCCCGTCTATTTACACACTGTTTTCTATTTTTTCACAGGGCGGATGAGGATTTTTTCACGCTGGTTTGTGTGCCTTCTGCTGGTAGGCGTTGGCAGATCTGCCCGCCTCTCGTCACATAGGCGGCTGGCATTCAGCGGATCTCGCTCAATCAGCGCCTCCCTGTCGCAGCAGCAACAACAGCAGCCGAATGAAGGCGCCCCGTCTGGCCAGGGGCACCACCAGCCGTCTGGCAGGCTGTTCCCAATGGAGATTGGGCTGGACATGGAGGCGTGTGACCCGCTGGATGGCTTGAGCGTTTGCATGAACAGGGGCACTGGGCAGCTGCGGGTCATCAAGGGGCTTGACCACACCTGCATTGCCTATGGATGGTGAGCACAACACAAAACACCAGTAAGGGAGGGAGGGTGCACTGCCTTTGCAATGGGCAGATTGGTGTCTGTCGTCTTTGTCTGCGTGGATTGTGTGTGTTGCCTGCAGGTTCAACGATACTTTGAGTACGGAGGGGTGGGGGCATCTCTACCTGCGGACCTCTGGCCACGACATCGCCAGCAATGACGTCAAAATGTACGCCGCAGGTCCGTAAGCTGTGTGTGCACCCTACGCACGAAGGAAGGGCATCCATCAATCAGCAACGCCCGTCTGTGTGTCTGTGTGTCTGTCAGGCTATGCGGAGGGATTCCTCTCTGCCGTGCGAATCGGTCAGCTCTCTGCTTCTTCCATACACACAGACGTTTGTTTAAACACATGGGTCGGTGTGTTGTGTGTCGCTGTGCAGGGGAGATGAATGCCAATCTAGTGGATCTGCTGCTGATGGAGGACCACGACACGGACGCCCTGCAGAACATCGGCGCGCATTTCGAGCGGCAACTGGCGGCGATGAAGCGAGAAATACACTTCCACCACCACACACTGGTCGACGAGATTGACGACCCCTATCTGAAGCACGTCAGATACGCCTTCTTCCAGGTGGGCCACATTGCCTGTGGATGGAAGGCCTCTCGTGTGTGAGTGTGAGTGGGAGGTCTTCTGTGTTTTGTGTGGGCAGCTGTGGGGAATGATGGATGGCTACAACGACAATGCGCGGCACTTCCATGCCACCCCCATGAGCATGACCGACATGATCTTCCTCAACTCACACCCATACATGGGCGACCTCAGGCAGGCCTTCAACACACAGGCCAGCCATGAACGGTACGGTGCGCACACACACCGCACCACTGGCAGGACAGACACACACAACCATCTCTCCCACTGTCTTGTCAGCCAAAAGTACCGGCAGACAGGCCCCCAGCAGCAGCAAGTGGTGGTTGACGACTCACATGTCGAGATGAGCCCGCCCCCCGAGCCCTCCCAGCCGCCCCCTGAGAGCGTCGCTGCCGTGCTCATGCAGACGGGCGACAGCAGACAGAAGGCGGCTATACTCAACAATGCCACCACACAAGTACAGGTCAGCAGGTGGGGAAGGCCTCAATGGGGCATGATGTGATGCATCGATGGCTGGGCGTGTGTTAGGCGTTTCTTGAGTGGTCTCGGCTGGTTCGTCGGTCGGGCCACTGCTCGGCGATGGTCAAGGTGACCGACGACGGCAGCGATGTGCTCATCGGCCACACCACATGGTCCGACTACTCCACCATGACAAGAATATGGAAACGGTCAGTCAGTGAGGTCGATAGTCAGACCGGAGCGGCCAATGCGTCTCGGTATGTCTGCTGGTCTGGTCTTTGCAGGTATGAGTTGAACCTCGGTGCTCTGCCAAAGTCGCAGCTCGCCGCCCCACGGATCAGCTTTTCATCATACGCAGGCACCACACACACACAACACACATACAGATGGCACCTTCGGTGCGAAAGCTGTTCATCCTTCCTTGATTTGATTTGTACGTGCAGGGTTCATCGGATCGGGCGACAGCTTCTATGTGCTGAGCAGCGGTCTGCTGCTGATGGACACCACACTCCCTCTCATCGACAAGGCCATGCACACCCGAGTGGCCGACGAGGAGGCCGCCCCCATTCCTCTTTTCCTCCACGTGGTCGCATGCGGCCGCACCGCCACCACCGGCACACACCTCACCAGCTGCGTCGCCAGACAGAACACAGGTCTGCACAGGGGACACACACACACACACACTCTGTCGAGTGCATTTATGGTGGCTTCTGTGTGTGTGTGTGTGTGTAGGGTATGGCAGCAGCCAGTGGATGGCGATGGATTACGGCCGTTTTCGGCAGTCTGGCGGCCTCACTGACAATGCGTTCTTCCTGCTCGAGCAGTCGCCGGGCCTCACACACTTTGGAGACATCACACACGTACACACGCAGGCTGTGTGGGTGTGCAGGCACATGCCCACCCAACACACAGAGGTCTCCATTCATGTCATGTGCATGTGTGTGTTGACGCAGGTGCTGTCATCTAAGGGCCATTTTCTGTCCACCAATCGCCCGTATTATGACGACGTAGCGAAGGGAATGGGCTACATAGAGGCGCAGCAGGAGCACGGCAACATCTTTTCGTATGACCACAACCCGCGGGCAGTGCTGCTGGCCCACCACAGTGCCGACATGAGCGAGCTGCATGAACTGAGGCAACTCATGACGAGAAACAGATCGCCACTCGACAATCGGTACACAGACACACACACACTCATGTCTCTCTGTCTCTCTGTGCACCCGGCCATTTGTGTGCAGTGAGAGTGGGCTGCCTGAGGACCCCAGCATAGCCATCGCCGCGCGCTTCGACCTCTCAAAGATCGACCCCATACCCAACGGCGCCATCGACGCCAAAGTAAGTGAGCACACAATGGACGCATCCTCAAACACACATCTAGTACTGTGCATCGTGTGTTTGTATCTCATCCATGGCTGGCTGGCTGGCTGGCTGGCTGCAGGTAGTCAACAAGTGCTTGTTTGCGGCAATGATGCCCCAAGGCACGTCCGGTCCGCCCCATATTCCCCTTCCGGCCTTCAAGTGGCGGGGCGCTATAGGTGCCAGCAGCGGCAATGCTTCAGAAATAGAGAGGTGGCCAGGATGGCCGCACAGGGGGCTGCCCAACGAGTGGGCCTTCCACTGGACGCAGATCTTCCCCTCCCGGCACGCCTATGGCGACGATGCGCTGGACGACATCGATGTCTGCTGACTGACTGACTGAGCCAGACAGAGACATGTCATTGATACATTTGTGTATTTTTGTGCCGAGTTGGTGTTGCCATACGTCTGTGTGGGGATGCATGCAAGCCTACAGAGTTAGTGAATCGCTTGTTCCCAGCAAGGAAACGAAGTGGGGTGGGGCTGGGGGCGCTTCCGAGACGCCCCGGCCCCCAAGAATCAAAGCAACGCTTTTTTTCCCGGCGGCATCCTGCTGCTGGACAATGAAGCTTCTGCTGACAGCCTTGCTGATTGCAACTATGCTGGTGACCACGGCCTCCGGGACTCCTTCTCGCCCCATCGACCATCTCGCGTCTTTTCTGTCTGTCGGCGACTGCCCAGCGGACACGGAGGTGTGGTTCCCCGTGGGCGGCGGGGAGTCGCAGCAGTGGAAGAAAGGCAAGAAGCGGCAGGTTGAGGAGCTGCTAACCGATGCCATCAACGATCTCAACCTGCAACGTGCCGCCAACCCCCTCACCGTCACACCTGAACTGCGACCAACTCAGTTTAGGGTCACTGATGCGAGGCTCTGCAGGCGGCAAAAGGGGTCTGTGGTCACTCATAAGGGCTTCACTGGCGCAGAGATACATGTGATCGTCCACGCGCATTCCCTTCATCACGGCCAGGGCGACGGACAGCTCAACCCCTTCGTGCTCTTTCGCTTCAACGAGATGCTCGATCCCGAGTGCACTGATGAGCAAGACGAACAATGGAATAATGGCACCGGCACTGTCTGCCGCATTCACAGATTCTTCCGCTTCCAGCCAGAGAGCACCATCCCCTACGTCCATCAGCTCGCTGCCGGTGATGTCGTCAATGGCGAGACAGCCGTACAGCTCACCAACCCGATCGTCAAGGAGGCGGCAACAGCGCTGCAGCAGAAGTTGGACGGCCTCTGCAAGACAAAGAGGCCGCGCTGGCGGTTCAGTGCTGCAGACGATGTCTTTGCCTCTTATGTCCAGTTTGTGGGCAGAGGTGTACGAGTCCGCCTTGAGTTTGAAATTCCGATGAGTGGCCATGGCTGTCGGCAGGGAGACCACATAAATGGGCCCACAACTGAGCCTTCCTATCACAGATTCTATCACGAAGTGAGATTTAGGGGAGTGACGTATGAGCGGAGTCCCAAGAGCTGGTTTGCCTACCACTGGGGAGGTAACAGTAGCAAACAGATGTTCTTCAAGGAGGGCCAAATTCAGCTGCCATACACACGCATGAAGTGCAGAAACCAAGACACATGCGAGGTCAGTCAGACGTCTCACGGATCCATCGATGACCCCGCACGGTTTCCTATGCTTGTTTTCTCTCAGGAGGATTTCTTCTGTCGGGACCACCTGCCCAACACAATCGGCATCTGTCGATTTCTGTTCCCTGGACAGTCACCAAGGCAATTTTTCCTCAAGTCCAACCCAAAGCACTCAGTCAGTCGGTCAGTCATCATGACAAAACGACTCTCATCCATAATTCAGTGTGCATGGCCTCTCGCCCACACACACCATCCATCCATCATGCCCTGTGTCTAGTCGACGATCAACTGCACAAGGTCCGTATAAGCCCTCAGCCAAATGGTGAGGAAATGCCTCCTTCCTGCCTGTCTGCCTACATGCGCCTGTCTATCTATCTGTCTGTCTTGCTGCCTCGCTTTCTCTCTGTACTGACAGCTATGTACCCATCAAACGTGTCACTGGCTCTCTCGTACCTGGCTTGTCTCACTTACTTCCTCGCTCCCTCCCTCTCTCTCTCTCCATCACAGCCCATCAGTCCCGTCCGAGGACTCTCTCCCATCCGAGTTCGCTGCAGGCTGCCCGCCTGGAATAACCCAGTTCGTCCCGGCCCGCTCAAGGCAACTGCCCGCCGCCCGGCGTTGGCAAGGGAACACCCGATGGGCGTCGGCCTGGGCCCTCGCTCTTCCGGAAGAAAGACTCGTACGAGGGGAGGTGGATGCACGACACATCGCTGAGAGAAGTACTCGCCTGTCTCTCGTGCTGCCAGAGCTGCCCGCTTCCATGACAAGCACCCTCCCCACCCCCTGATCACCACGCAACACACGCACGCACCGGTGTCTTCATACCTGAACGTCGAGGCTGCGGACGAGAAGGGGCAAGGCTGCTGATCTGCGACTTCGTCAGAGAGAGGAGGGGAATCACGAACACTCACGTTGATCAAAGATCTTCACTGCCGACACGTATCCTTTCAAACGGAGGCTGTTTCGAGTCAGCGCACGCACGTCGTTAGTCGTCCGTTCGGTGCTGGTTTTGCAAGCTTAGCTCACACCGGCTCGTAAAAGCTTGCACATGAAATACACTGCAGGAAGAGAAGAAACGCACTCAGGAGGCTCAGGGCCTCGATGTGTCATATCGCGCTCGGACACAGAGAGACCCACAAGTTGAGCGGATCGGCGCCAGAGACCTTCGCTTTTGTGACTATGATGCCAAAGTGCCGGATGAGTTCGACCCCTCGACAGCCCTCACACAAATGGCACACATGCTTTCCTAGCTATCTTGTCGAAGATCAGGTGGGATGAGCAGGCTGTGCTGTGTCTCGAGGCATGCCTTGTCTGTCTGTTTGTTTGTGCCAGCGCGAGTGCAGTGCGTGTTACGCTTTCGCAGCAGCAGGCATGTTTGCCGATCGGCATTGTGTGCGTGACCTGGAGCACGGTGTCGCCCCTTCCCTTGTGATGGACGGACATCGACATACCTTCTCGGCGCAGGACCTTGTCTCGTGTGTTGAGGACTACACTTGCGAAGGTGGGAAAGAATGACAAGAAGCCCATCGATGGTGTCTGGCGAACGACAGGTGGCGAGATCCACGTGGCGTTGGACTACCTGGTCGGGAACGGGGCGGCTCTTGACACTAGCCTGCCCTATATGTCAGGCTGCATGGTAATCATCTCGCCAAGAACGTCACGCCAATCATCCTCTCCATGAGCCTGACAGAGACAGGTCTTCTCTGTGTGACAATGCAGCCCTCCGACATCCATGGCTCCGCGATGGTCAATGACAACCACCACTGTCGCTCTATCAAGAACGTGCGCAAAAGGTCAAACACGACGAGAAAGGACGACGACCAACATCATTGTGTATGTATGCTTTGGTACAGTCCGGATGGCAAGTTCCTGGTGCCTGAGTGTGATGCGAGGCTGCCGCGGCCATGGAAGGCAATGGACTATCACGAGATTCCCGAGGGGCGGCGGCACCCAGATTATCAGTCGGGCGTGTTCTTGATGCCGGACACGACCATGCGAGACACATTGCTCGATCGACGGCTGACGGGGGCAGAGGCAAGTGAGACATGCCCGTGGTCTCTTCGAAGCCGTGCATGTGTCTGTAGACGAGTGTGTCTTTGTCTTTCACGACTGTGCATGTAGGTGGTCAAGTGCATCCAGCTGCAGCTGATGCATTACGGTAGTCTGCCCGTCACAGTAAGTCACTATTGAAACGCTCGCATTCGTCGAGACAGGACTGGTAACGTGGTGTTTTGTGGATGCTTCCGTTTTTATAGTGTTGCTGTCATGCAGTCTGATATTTATTATGACTTCGCCTACTGTCTGGACGAGATTCAGCTCTACGACAAAAACGCCGTCTACGCATGGGGCAGGTGCAGCTCGCCGCGCAGCCACACCACGTCGTCTCTACTCTTATTGGCTCGTTGATGCTTTCAGGATATCGCCCTTTACAGGCAGACATGGGATGGTGCTGGTGGGGTGGGGCGGCGGCCACAGCAATCCCTATTGGATCGTGCGCAACAGCATGGGTCATAAGTTTGCAAACGAGGGATACTTTAATGTCCGCCGAGGCACCAACGAGTGTGACATCGAGAAAGAGATTTACTATATATACGCCAAGAAGGTCAGCTGAAGGCATGGGTGCCCTCGTTCTGACGATGTGTCGTGTTTACTTCTCCCAGCTGAATACTCACGGCAAGAGCGTGTCGGAATTGCTGCGGCAGAAAGCGCCGATTCCAAGCAGTGTGAGGCTGACTTGGGATCGATTCATTAACATGCGGACCGGCGTCAAGGAGTGCGGTGGGGATTCCCTCGCTATGGCCACAACGATCCGGTGCAGCTACGTAAGTGAGCCGAACGGACCAAAAAGGACATTTATGGAAGGGTGGTGGATGGCATCTGGTCTCTGGTGTGTATGTTGTTGTCTTGTATAGAACTGCATCCCACTCCTCGCCACAGAGACTTCACACACGGCCACAAGGTTGCATCGTGTGGATGACTACTCGGGTGGTGGCCTCGAGCCAACGTGGCATGGCTCTGACAACTCACACAAAATCGAGCTGCTCTTCTGCAACACAGCGGTTCAAGAAATGGTCAAAGGCGTCAAAGACAGAAAGGCAAGCGGCATGAGCGGCATTCAGTGAGACTATTCATTCATTCCTTTGTCTGTCTCTCTCAGCTTGTATTGCACGTACGAGTCACGATTCCTGAGTTGAGACACAAGCGCGATCCGCCCAGCTGGTCGTCTCTCGCTGCAGCAGACACACCAGAGGCACGGAGGGAGGAACTCAGCCGGTGGACCTTCCATGTCCCCAATTTCTTGGACCTCGGAGCGGTCCAAGAAATTGGGCATATGAAAGGAATCAGTCAAGAAGGTCTTTCTAGACACACCCATCATTTACTTAACACCAACACGTGATGAAGATCCTCCCTTTGTTTCTCTCAGAGCAGTGTGAACAACTCATCTACGACATGGTCCTTCCATCAACAAAACAGTCCGATGACGCGCGCAGAAGGCTCAAGAGCGGGAACAAACTCGTGTGTCGCGAGGCGGCCGTGATCGTCATTCACAGGGAGATACGCCTCTCGTATGGTTTGGGCGGCAACAGGGACAAACAGTGGCCCCTGTTGAAGGAACGTCTGACCGCAATTGGTAGGTAGGCGAGTGAACCGACATGAAACGAGACTACATTTACCCTCTCGTCTTTCTTGTGGATGAAATCGTGACAGACGATGTCTTCCGGCTTGACCTGGAGTGGATCAAGTCGAAGGCCGTCAACTCTTTCTATGGAAGAAAGGAGGCGATTGCCATCGAGTACTTTGAGGCTCCGGTCCATTTCGCAGCACGCAGCGGGCTTCTGAGGCTACTGGAATGGATGCTCTTCCAAGCGAAACGGAGATTTCTATAAGAAAGACCAGAGGAAAGAGCACGCAACAGGAGCCAGTTTCGTGTGTGGTCTGTGCAGCGCGGGAGAGTTCGAGCGGATTGTTGACTTCCCCGGCGTCAATGGTTTCAGTCCCCTCATGCTGGCAACAATGAATGGACACGAGAAAGGTACACTCTGTATGTGTCATCTTTAAGGAGTGCTCACCCTCATGTGCGTTTCTCTATGCAGTCGTGATTTCCCTTTTGTCTCTTGGCGCCGACCCTACAAAGACCGACGACACTGCACTCACCTCGGCCATGTCTCTGGCAGCCCAACACGGCCGTCTCAGAATATTCAAGATGCTCGTCAACAGGGCAAATGCGCGCGCTGATTTCAACATCGACCCGCTATATTTCCCGTTGTGCCATGCTGCATCGAACGGCCATTACAACGTGGCGCATAACATCCTCAGCGAAAAGACCGAACAAATGGAAAAGGATCTGCGCGAGTGGCTCAACACACCCAAGGGCATCTTTCTGACAGCATTCGGGGCTTCGATTCACGATGCACATGATGAGTATACCCCGCTCATGTAGGCGTCCAAAAGCAGGGGACACGTGCGTGCGCATTACACACTGTGCTCCGTGTTTGTCCCTCCCTTTTGTCTGCAGGTATGCCATCCGGGGCGGCAGTGTGAATCTTGTGAGAGAAATGTTCGAGATGGGCGCCAACCTGGATGACGCCATCACAAGGAAGTATGCACTCCACAACGACGAGATCGTTATGCAGGCTGACCTCCATCCGGGCGAGGGAAAGAACCTCCACACATCGTCGCTCCATGTGCTTGCGGAAAATGGCAATGGCGAGATGGCGTAGCTCATTATGGGCTTCCTGATGGACAGGGCATACATCGCAAAGCACCGCAAGTACATTAGCAGTATTCACTCACACAGCCATTTCCATTTTCTCCCGGCTTGCTGCAGGCACTATGACATTGTCACTTCGTTCTGGGACCTTGGAGACGGCAACACCACTGCTGCAGCGGCGGCCGAGGGAGCCATTTCATGGGACCAAATATATAGGAGACGAGTCTTCCGTCAGATGTCGCTTGAGCGGCTATGGACTCCAGTGCACCTTGCAGCGAAGAACGAGGATGTCGGGGTGCTCCAGGCTATGCTTTTTTTCGGCGCCAGGACTGACCTCCTCAAAATCATGTTCGGACAAAGAGATGGAGAAGGCAATATACTACGAATCCAATAACCCCCTCATGTCTCCATCATCGTTTCTCTTCGCCTGCAGACAGTGCTGCACATTGCCGCCTCGGAGGGCCACACAGCAATGGTCCAGATCATGCTGCAATGGGTGCCCGACGTCAAGTACCTCTCTCGGCTGAACTTTAACGGGCTGAGCTTCCTCGGCTCGGCGATTGCTGCTGACAGCAGTGCTGTTTTGCGAGTGGCTCTCGAAGGGCCGTATGGCGAGACAGGGCAGCGAATACTGACAGCAGACACGATAGTGAATGTCCACAGGCAGACTCACTCTGATGGTGCATGTGGTCGAGCAAGAGGGAGAGAGGTGCCTCAGATACCTCGCCGAGACAGGTATGTGCAAGGACAAGGACACCATGGATGATCACATAGGGCATTGTTCCTTTCTTTGTATTCTGCATGTAGGGTATGCGTATCAGATGTCGGCGGAGACATTCAACGCAATGCTGACTACGATGCGATCCCTTTTTCAGTCCCTCGAGACACAAGAGGCACGAACGACAATGGCTATCTTATCATACGGGAGAACGCTGTCGCGGCACAGGACCTCTGGGAGAAGAGCAGCAGCGAGTGGGCTGGGAACATGCAGTTGTTCAAGATTTTCACACAGCTCAGCCCAGAGCGGTGGAGACAGTGGCTGGCGGTCAGTGTGGTCGTGAAAAGGCACTTGCTGTGGTGGCTGGTGCAAGCGGTGGCTCACGGCAGGTACATTATAGCTTCGGACATCACCCTGGCTTTCGCTAGGCTCGAACACCAGAGAGGCACCCGTTTCTTATTAGAGAGCGGCACTGTGACGGTGGGAGTATTCACGCCGCTGACGTACATTGTCCACCATCTCAATAGCGAATGTAACCAGAACGGCGAGCTTGAAGATGTAAAAGACATGGTCCTCACGAACTATCTCACCCTGGTGGGCATGTAGTGCAGCCATCGACGACACAATTTGTGCACTCATTGAGGTGTGTAAGTTCAGGCGACAGAGGCCAACTATCTCGACTCACGGGCATGGAAGCTCGGCTACAGGAAATCCAAGCACTCGCTGATACTCGCAGCTTTCGGCATGGCTGGCAGTCCGCCGTGTCTCGCCACTACTATGCACCTGGCCAGCTACGTGCAGCAGATGCACAGGAACGGCCAGCTGGGGCGGTATTGGGAGTCTTTGAAAAGAAAGCAGGCGCTTCTTGGTCAGAGCAGCAGCGAGACGCATGAGGTGCTAATCGACATGCTCAACGGCAAGACCATCACGTGAGAAGGCAAAGGGAAATGGGTGAGGCCGAGACAAAGGCAGGTACTTTACGGTGTGCTTTCCCAGGCCTCTGGAGCCTTATCGCATGAAGCCAGGGAAGCGCACGAAGTGGCAAATGTCAGAAGGAACATGTAAGCCGACACGGATGCGCACTCTCACCTCGTATGTGTGACGATCGATCAGTGGTCGAAGAGAACAAGAGACATGCTGCTGACAGATTGGTGCGAGACATCACGAAGAACGGCGGGAAGATGAAGTTAATATTCAACACACTGGTGGCAGCCCACAAGACCACCCACAGACAGAGGCTGCCACAACACATACCCGGGCAGGTATGGTGAGAGGCGTAAGGGGTGTCTCAGTCAATCACTCACTTATTTCTCTCTGTGACGTGCTGCAGGTTTTCGTGTCCCTCCTGGATCACCTCTTTGCACAGCACTGGTCTCTCTTTCAGACAGCCGTCTGCATAATGTGTGCGTGCAGAGCTGCTACATTCCTTCTCACGAGCATGAATTCTATCACTTCTTCCTCTGGGACGACGAGCACGGCGCTCGGTCGTCGCACACTCTTGGCCGTCTGCACAAACAAGGAAAGCTCCGGCTTCCAGGCGGCATCGCGATGACCGTGCCATGCCAAGTCGGCAAAGCCGCCACCTGGATCGCTCTTTGCGGTGGGTGGGAAGCAGACAAGAACTTTAATAGTCAGCCCAATCCCACACAGAACAGACAGACGGACCACCGCCGAATCCGTGTGGTGTGTATTTTGGTTGGCATTTGCAGGGAATCTCCAGAGCGCGCTGCAAACCGACAGTTTTTCTATGTCCAAGCTGGTGCATCTTCTCGATACATTTGTGCCGCGTGGCGTGCCTCAGCGGCGTGTGGGCATGGGCCGCCGAGACATCAGATACAGCAAGAGAAAGGTGGGGCACCAGACGGGAGGAATCAGATCACCAGACACGCAAGACATAAACAAACGTGTCGTGTCTGACACTGTTTGTCTGTGTGTCTGTGTGTCTGTCTGTCTGTGTCTATCTACTTGTGGTGCCTCGCAGCGTTTGGGGGCCATTCTGGCGCCATTGCGCTCTGATAAAGAGGACAGCCAGCAACAGGTGGACGCTCTAATGGACGCACCTGCTGGACGAGGCATTGCAGCCAAGATGGCCAACAGAGGGAGGGGCAGGAAAAAGAGACGCGACGATTGCTTGCCGCCGTCAAGCCGGTTGCTGTCTGACACAGTCGAGAATGAGATGGACAGAGAAGGTGACAAACAGACAAACAAACAGCCGCATTTCATGATGACAACGATCGGATCACGTCCCAATGTCTGTCTCCCTGTTGGTTTGCGTGGTGCGGTGTTGTGTGGTGCAGAGGAGAAGTCGATGAGACACAGGGGACGGCTGGAGCTGCTGAAGTCGATCAAGTGGATGAAGATATGTGATCCGATTCCACATGGATGTGACAATTTTGATAGCGCTAGTGCAGTGCATGTGATGCGATAGATACGTCAGCGCACCGGCTGGTGGCGCAATTTGTGTATGTTTCCTTGGTGGAGCTGAGAAAGGTCAGCCGCTCGTAGTTTTCCATCAATTTTCCGGCCGGTGCGCATGATTGATCGGCAGCGAGGGCTGTCTTCCTGTCGGACGGTGGTGCGTGCGGACTTCAATTGTTATCGCTGTGCTTGCCGTGAAGAACTGAATGCGTGTGCACATGACATTCATCGCTCTGTACAATTGCGTGTCCCCGCTTTGGCTGCTCCCGGATCATACATCCTCATGGATTGATCTGTCTGTCTGTCTGTCTGTCTGTCGCTCTCCGCTCTCCCCTTGGTCGCCCCGCACCTGGCGCTGGCCGTCCATCTCTCCCTCTCCCTCTCCCGGCCCCGCCACTATCGCGAGCGTCGCTGCGCAAAGGGCTGCGCATACAGAATAGGGACGCACGGGCCGATTCATTCATGCAACGCATGCATCAGAGAGGCATGGAACTCTTCAGCACAACACCCACACAGCTGCCATTCGGTCACATATCAGCAGCTGGTCTGTATGTCTGCAGAGTGAGCGATATGCGATTCATCCATCGTGCACACACATGGATCGCCTGCAGAGATGACGACAGCCGGCACGCAACCAACACCCTCCTGATGACACACACAGACGCACACTCATCAGGGCAACATCAGCCACATGGCCTAAGTGAATCGCTGCGAGCTCACCAGTATTGACGGATGGATCAGTTGCCGCTCTCCGCCTCAGCTACGCCACCCTCGCCTGTCGAGTGCACAGGACACACACACACAAATGAAAGTCATTCAGGCCAATGTGAGGTCCTCTGTGGTGCGTGTGGCTGTGTACCTCCGTCGCCTTCTCCGCTGCCGTCATTCGTATCACCCTCATCAGCACCATCCTCGGAATCTGCAGACCACACACACAGAGAGGGAAGGCACGTCATCCATCCATCCATCCATCCATGTGTGTGTCCGTACCGTTGTCGTCATCCTGCTGCTGCTGCTGCTGCTGTACTTGTCCGTCGAAGACGTATGGCGCCACCGCTCCCAGCGCCACACGGGCCAGCTGAGTGGTGAGAGGGAAGCGGTCTTTGAAGGGACCACTCGCACACACAGGCGCCTCAGTGGTCTCGACACGCACACCCACTGCACACAAGGGGAAGAAGAGAACGCGACACTTAACCAGCAGAGCTGCCTCTCTGTCTCCCTTCCCATCGTTGTTTACTAATCCGGTGATGGAAATCCATGCGACGAAGTTGTGGCTGCCGGCGGTGAGCACCAGCCATCGGAAATCACCGTCGTAGCTGAGTGTGGTGGTGCATCCGGCCACCGGTGTGTGGGGCGATTGTGTGAGGAGGCCATCCAGACGGCCGCCACCAACACGCCTGAACCAACCACACACACACACACACACAATCAAACACGCACCCCTCTCACCCACTGGTGCCATTGGAGTGTGTTACCTGTCAAGGTCACTCGATGTGCGATTGGTCTGGTGAGTCTCGCTGAAGTGGTTGAGGACCATGTCCTTAGCAAACGACGACACCGACGCATCGGTGTACGGGAGACCGGTCGGCCCCCATCCGTCCGAGTAGATGAAGCCGCCGTTCACTGGTGGGTCGTGTGGCTGTCGATGCTGCTGATAGAGATGGTGGGCGGGGAGGGGCGGGTTGACCTGCAGCCGGAAGAAGGGCTCGTCCCTGATGGCCCGCACCTCACCATTGCCATGGCGGAAGATCTGCAGGCAGCTGCCGTCACCGAAGGCCACGTGGCGGCCGACCACCATCAGCTGCGCCAACACACGAGCTACCGATCTATACGCCTACACCACACCACAGACAGACAGACAGAGAGGGGATGAGGCCTCTCTGTTCTCTCCCGCCCCTCTGTGTGTGCCTTACCGTCTTGCTGGCGTGTGTGCGAATGTCATCGGCTGTGAGGATGACGGGCAGGTCACAGTGGCCGCACTGCCCCGCCAGCTCAATCACCTCGCCCATCTCCATCCAGTCCCCCTCCTCCATCACACACACAGCCGCCAGCAGATCACACACGCCGAAGTGGTCGTCGTCGAACCGCACCAGCTGCACCTGCTGTCCATTGACCAGCCGCCGCAGCCCCGCCTGTGAGCCGACAGAGTGGCGGAGCCGAACTCTCAGCTGGGGCGCTCGGAAGAGACACCTGAGCCACGTGCAGGTGGCCCTCAGCCGCAGGATGTCTGTGAGGCTGAGGAGGTAGAAGGTGCGGCGACCAACGAAGATGTATGAGAAGGGATGCTGCTGATGCTGCTGATGGTGCGGTTCCTGCATCTTCATCCCACCAAGCTGCTCGTGCTGTCGCTGCTGGTGGTACTGATGGTGTGGGTGCTGTTGGCCCCACAGTGCTGCAGCCGTCGCCGCGGAAAGTAGTCCCTGCCTGGGGTCCACCCTACTCGCCATCTTCGGGTGCGCGTAGTACGGCATCGTGGGAGCGGCATGGTGTGGCGCAGCGGCTATCATGGGCTGGGGATGGTAGGGGGCAAGAGGGCGTCGGTCTGTGGGACGCCATTGGGCTGGGTGGTGCCGTTCATCAAGTGCGTGTGCGACTGTGCTGCGTCGGGTGCGATGGATGAAGGACGTGGCGGGAGGCCGTTCTGCACGGAGGCCTTGATGGAGAACGCTCGGGTCTTCTCAGCTGTGGGCGTGGCCAGCAACTGAGTAATGGACACAATGGACCAACACGACACCCACAGACAGGGACGGTGCTGGCCACTGTGGCCATGCATGTATGTATCTCCCTCTCCATCTCTCTGACTCCCTCTCTATCTCTCTGCCTTTCTGGCTGACAGACAGACCGACAGACAGGCGTACGTACGTACCTCTTGTGTGAGAATGTTCTTGATGGCTCCGAAGTAGCGTTTCCAGAACCGTTCCTCCTTGATCCTCGACGGCACCAGACGGTACCGCACCTCCTTGAGCGACGGCAGCTGGTCCAACAAGGCACCCGCCCTACACTCACACAGACACTCACACGTGCGCTGTCTCTCCCTGCTGTTCTGTCTGTCTGTCTGTCTGTCTCGCTGACTGACCATTCTACGAATGTGGTGGAGTCATCGAGTGTGAACTCGGGTATGTCAGCCGGAGGGCACTGCTCCAGGAACGACTCGACGCTGTCGGTCAGCCGCAGCACTCTTTCGCGGACCTCGTCCAGCGACCAGCGGAACACGGTGTCCGACGACACGTCCTCGCTGCACCACTGCACGATGTGGAACCACGGAAAATTGTCGTCCTGCAACACACCTGACGTGACGCAAGAAAGAAAGAAACGAGAAAAGGCAGCGTAACGTGAGACCGAGCCTGCCACAGCACAGGCCTGCCTGCCTGCGTACCCTGTTCCATGTCTTTGAGTTCCATCTCCACCTGCTCCTCCTCCGCCGACGTGCTCTCAGCACTCCCCATCAACCACACAAGACCAACCAAGACACACAAGATCTTCGGTAGGCCGAATCTCGCAGCACCACCAGACGCGATGCCCCGAGCCGCGCTGCCAATTCGAAGCACACGCGTCTCGTGGATCGCCAAGGGACAACAAGCGGTGCATCTGGGCTATGATGTGCTCGACGACAGCCTGCACAGAGCGACAGAGCCGACAGAGGATCGTGTGCATCAAGCATGCTGCTCATTGATCTGTGTGCTGCTCACCTCGTTCGATGAACAGATGGACAGATGAGCATGCAGAGAACTGAATGCACCACTAGCAGCACCAGCACCAGCAGCGGCAGATGAGGAGGCCGCCGTCACTCCTCAACGACAAACCTGCAGCGATGGGCCGACAGACACACAGGGAGAGATGCCAACAGAAAAGGACGGCGACCGCATTGAGGCCAATGGATCAGTGAGTGCATCAGTGAGTCAGTGAACTGTCAGTGAGTGGTCGGCCTCCCTCACCTCCGATGTCTGTAAGCTCAATGGGCCACCATCTCACCGCAGCAAGCGAGAGGATGACTCGAGTGACCCATTCTCGGCCGAGTGCGTCACGCTCGCAACGCACAGACTGTCCGGGAGGCTGTAGGGTATGAAACCCTTTGACCCTTCGAACCCTGAAGTTTATCGTTTTCGGGCGAAGATCGTTCGGATGTAGGACCGGGCGATTCGGCGTGTGCAGAGCGGCATCTGCACACGGCGATTGAGGACAGTTTGCGTGGCTTCGATTCGGCGAGCCTTGTGTGGATTGATCTGTGGCCTGTTCCGGGCCTCCCCGGCCTCTTTTGAGGACAGCAGAGGCCTTCACGAGGCGCCCTGATGGCTGGGATCCATCGGTGAGACGCCTGGGGCGATGTCGGAGGGCATCGTTGGTTGGTTGACTAATGTGTTTAAGGTGAGGCCAATGGGACGACCTGATGGCGGGAATGACAGATCTGCACGTCGGTGTGATGCTGTGTGTTTGTCTGGTAGGACGGCAGATGAAGTGGCCGCAGCGGAGAGGTCCGCCCACCCGGACGACACACGAACGATTCACAAATCCATTTCTGATGTGTTCCTGTGTGTGTGTGTGTCTGGTGGTGCAGCCGTCTGGGTGAACCAGTTAGTTGGGAGGGCGTCACGGATTGGCTGCGGCGACACGACGGTCATGCGGGCGGTGCGGCTGGTCAGTGTCGCTGATGTGCCCATTCAGCCGACATACACCCGGGTGCTTTGACGTCACACACACAGACAGGCACACCGGACATTTGTTCGGCTGTCTGTGTGTGCAGCTGGTGGGCCGAGCGATGGCCGATAGATCTGACTGCGGGCTGGAGTGTCTGGAGAGGCTCTTCACTGCCGCCGGCATGGACACCCACGGCCGCCTGTTCTCAGTCGCCAAATACCTCATGGTAAGCCGGTCCGTTAGCCACACACAGACACCTCCAGCCATCGAATGGCTTATCCATGTCTGTCCTTGCCCTTTTGTGTGTTTGTCCACAGTTTCTCTCGATGTGTGACGTCGATTTGGCCGGGTGCGATGTCCGCCTGCTGGCCGCCACGGCCGTCTACATCACACGCAAGGCCAACCAGGACCAGATAGCGGGCCGCATTTGGGTCAGCCGAAGGAGCACCACGTGTCATGATGTGCGACGATGTGTGTGATGGCCTGGGGGGGTCAATGTCCGTCAGAGTGCGGCCCTTGTGGCTGAGAGTTCGTTTAGCGAGGCGGCGTTGGAGTCTGGCATAGCGACCCTGAGGATGCTGCGGCTGCTGTGGCGCGACACACAGACCACCAAAGGGGTGACCATGTCATAAGAATAGCAGAATGACCAACGCGGTGGTTTCATTGTGTGTCGTTTGTGTCCTTCGTCCAGTTAGTGACGGATGCAGTGGATGAGTTGTTCGCCTCGCCCGATCGCCACAGCGTCGCATCGACGCACAGCTACCCGCACCAGCAGGTGGGTGTGACACAACTGACTTGAAGAGTGAGTGTTGCGATGGTTCCCATTATGTAGGTGTCTGTGTGGTGGATGGTGCTCATGTGGCACATCTGCTGCCGTGTGTGGTCATGGTGTTGGCGACGACCCTCATCCGAGCAACCCGCGGTCCACAACCACCCTCAGCAGCAGCAGCAGCAGCAGGTGGGCGTGACACAGCCGACCGAAATGCGCCAGATGTGCCTTGACGTGTGTGTGTGCCGTCTGCAGGATAGCAACAAGGACCATCCCCTTGCCCATTTCTTCGTCGACGACCGATGCTGCATCCCCGACATCAGCACCACACTTCAGCTGAGGGCCACCGCACCATGCTTCAGAAAAGCCTTCTCATCTGCCCAGCTGCGCAACCGCCTCGACCACTCGCTGAGCCGTGACGGAGATGGCATCAACACTCAGCAGCTGCAGCTGGTGCAGTTCGACCCATCGCTGGGGATGGGTGAGCTCATGGCGGCGGTGTGGATCGCCGAGGAGGGCGGGCGGTGGGATGAGACGAGGGAGGTGCTGCAGTGGGCCAGCCAGTACCGCTACTGCACACTGCCTGTCATCCTCATGGCAGATGACATTCGCACACACGCCAGCAAGACGGTAAGACATGCACACACACACAGAGGGGTGGGAGAGACCGGAGAGGCCTCGTGCATTCCCTCTCTGTCTGTCTGTATGGTGTAGGCGTATCTGTCGGTAGCTCGTGTGTTGGCGCAGCTCATGGTGGCCGGCCGCCACGTCGACTTCGGTGACCGCAGCTGCCTGCAGATCTTCCGCCGTGCCAATGGTGAGGTGCGGGCCATCAAGGACGAGCCCGGCTTCCGGCTGACCGTCGACCCGCCCCTCGCTGCCCACCATCTGTATCAGCAGCACCGACTGGAGCATGACCCCCCAGTGGAGAGCCGCATCAACTACTTGGGCGCCATCGGCACATGGGAGTCGGACGGTCTCCCGTGCACCGATTCCTCGGTGTGGTCCTTCGCTAAGGGCATGGTAATGAACCACTTCCTCAAGACTCACCAGATCAATCGCACAGGAATACTCCTCAACAGGTAACACATCAATGGCACCAGTGGGTGAGAGGGGTGCGTGTGTGATTGTGTGTGTGTATGTGTGTGGTTGGTTCAGGCGTGTTGGTGGCGGCCGTCTGATGGCCTCCTGACCCAGTCGCCCCACTCACCGGTGGCCGGATGCACCACCACACTCAGCAGCCGGGACGGTCGTGTGCGATGCCTGGTGATCACCGACGAAAGCCACACATTCGTCGCATGGATTTTCATTCTGGATAATGGAAACGACAATGGTCAGGCTGACAGACAGGCAGCTCCGCTGGTCAAATTTCATGTGATTTCTGTCTGGTTGTCTGCAGTGAGGGTTTGGATTGTGACGACCGAGGCGCCTGTGTGTGTAAGTGGTGCCTTTAAGGACCGCTTCCCGGTGACCACTCAGCTGGCCCGTGTGGCGCTGGGGTCAGATGTGGCGCCATACGTCTTCAACGGCCAAGTGGACGATGACAGCGACGATGATGACAGTGCGGACAGGGGGGGGAGGGAGGGAGGGAGGGAGGGAGGGACACACATATGGTGGCCATAGTGTGGATGGATGGATGGCATTTCTTCTCTGTCTGTGTGTGTGTGTGGTGTAGGTTCCGACGGCCATGGCGGCGGTTGAGATGATATGGACGACGACAGCGACGGAGAGGGCGGCGGAGGTACACACGAGGGGGAGAGGCACACAGCGGACGACAGATAGACTCACATCGACCCGCATCACATCCAGGTCTCTGTGTGTCTGCATGACGGGTGACAATGCCTCAGCTGAGGAGGAGAGCGGCGACTGATCAACCCAACTCAATACGGGACCACCACAGGTACTCGCGCACACCACAGTGCGCTGGAGCAGAGTGTTTGCAGTGCTGTCAGTGGCTGCTGGCTGCCCGAATCGACTTATGGCTGTCTGTGATAGAGAGAGATCGTATACCGCCCACTCTGTAGAGAGACCAGCTGCTGACACATGACTGGCCCAATGGCTGTGGGTGGGCGACCTGTCTGCGTTGCGCCGTCCAGCCTCTCTGCATATCCCTCCCTCTCTCGCCCTCTCTGTTGATATGTACCTATCTGGGTGGCTTCCTGCCTGGCTGTGGTTGGTGTGTTGCCCTTCACTGCTGGCCGGTTTTGACCTCACGGCTCGGCCGCAATGTGTGTGCCTGGCTGCCGGCCTGACTACCTGCCTGGGTGAACCACATGGAAAATGACTGCCTGGCTGTGTCTGTGTGAGCGGTATTGACTGCCTGGCTGTGTCTGTGTGTGTGTGTGTGTCTGTGGATGGACTGACTGATGCGCACGTGTCGGTGGACAGAAATCAATACACACACACACACACACACTCCTTGGCTGCGCTGCCGTGTCTATCTGTTTTGCCCCTCACTCCTCTCCGTCTGCATGGCTGGGCGGCCGGTGCTTTTGTTGGGCTGATGATTGACATCTCCTCTCTCTCTGAATGGGTACACACATGTCTGTCTGTCTGCCTGAACCCAGACAGACAGACAGACAGACCGGTCGACGCACCACACACTCTTGTATGGTGTGTCCATCCATCCATCCATCCATTGATCCATCTGCGGCGCATTGTTTGCTCCACACACACGCATCACACATACGTGGCAGCGTGTGCTTCACAGTCGTGGTCCATCCATTCACAACACTGGACCAGACAGACGCACAGACAGACAGACAAACAGACAGACAGGCTGCTCCGATGCAGTCAGTTGTCTTTGCCTCCTTGTTGGTTCCCTGGGGCTGTGGGCGGCTTCCTGAGTTCATCTCGTGTGCGGCTGCTGCATGGCACTCGGTCATGTATACGCAGCCATACACACTGGAGTGATCCGCCCCAGCCCTCCTGACTTACTCGTGGTGGTGGTGGTGGTGGTGCATGGTGGTGGGACGGCGGTACGCGACATGTGGCGCATGTGTCGCGATCGTTGGTCCACCTGTGCTGCCTAATTGCCTTACGTCGGCTGCCTCCCCTCTCTCCCCCCTCTCTGTATCCCTCGATCTCTGTACACACCTATACATAAATATGTACACACACATATGTACGTCCGTATACATATGGTGACATAGTTACTGACATGTGTACACATCGAATGGCCTCTCTCTTTATCTGTGTATGAGTGTGTGTGTTGCCTGCCTGCGTGGCCATGGATGAGTGTGGCGCGGGACGCACTCATTCACTCACTCAGTCACAGGGGGGCCACGCATGTCGGTGGAATGGCTGACGACCGTTGGCTTTCCCCCTCCCTCTCTCTTTGGATGAATGGCTGATATCGGTCGCGCTCTCTCCTCTCTGTGTGTAGTCCATGTGTGTGTATTGGCCTGTCTGCCTGTCTGTGTTGATGGATGGACTGACAGACGTGTGTGTGTGAGCATTGCATTGTATTGCATTATATTGCTCATATGTCCGTGTGGTGAATAGTCGACATCGATGCACACAAATGAGTACACACTCACTCACTCAAAACTCAATCACTCCTTCTTCAAGCCAAACAACGATTGGCTTCCCCACACACCTCATTGCACTCGCATCCATTTGCACTTCTCTCCTCTCCCTAGCAATGAATTCGATCGTGATTCATTGCGAGCTTCAATGACGAGATGGCGTAGAAAGTAGCCTTTGCGACAAGCGATGGGTGCGGTCAAGAGCAAGGTCGAGATCAAGAGCACCGACGAGGCATCGCCCGCCATCAACGGCCAGGTCCTGGACGTCGTCTATCGGGACGAGCGCGATGAGCTGCACAACGTCAAGGACCTCGGCAACATCAGAAAGTCGGCCCTGTTCTTCAGCAAGGTCGACTTCCCTGCCGAGGTCCTCCGCCATCGCCTCAACCGCTCACTGGATCGCATTCGCCTCGCTGACGGCACCCGACTGGACACCCTGCTGGCCTTCGACACTCAGTCGGTGGTCGGGGCGCAGCTGCTGCTGGCGGCCATCTGGATGATGGAAGAGCAGAGGTGGGACGAGGTCGCTGAGGTGCTGCAGCTGGCCAGCCAGTGCGGCTGCTGCACGCTGCCCGTCAACCTCACGGCAGATGACATTCGCACACACGCCAGCAAGACGGTAAGGCACACACACACAGGGGCGGGGGAGAGCGGAGAGACCTCATTCCTCTCTGCCTGTCTGTCTGTCTGTCTGTCTGTCTGTGTGGTGTAGGCGTATCTGTTGGTAGCTCGTGTGTTGGCGCAGCTGATGGTGGTCGGCCGCCACATCGACTTCGGTGACGGCAGCCGCCTGCAGATCTTCCGCCGTGCCAACGATGAGGTGCGGGCCATCAGGGACCTTCCTAGTTTTCGGCTGACCGTCGACCCTCCCCTCCCTGCCGGCCATCTGTATCAGCGGCACCGACTACAGCATGACCCACCAGTGCGGAGCCGCATCGACTACGAGGCCACACCGGCAGATGGGTGTCGTACGGTAACTCGTCCACCGATTCGTCGGTGTCGTCATTTGCCAAGCGTGTGATCCTCGATCACCTCCACCACACTCACCATACCAATCGCACATTCATATATCTCAACAGGTACCACACAAATGGCATCAGTGGCAAGAGGGGCGTGTGTGATTGGTTCAGGCGTGTTGGTGGCGGCCGCCTGGATGGCCTCCTGACCCAGTCGCCCCACACACCGGTGGCCGGATGCACCACCACACTCAGCCGGGACGAGCGTGTGCGACGGTTGGTGCTCACCGACAGCAGCCACAACTTCGTCGCGTGGATTGCCATTTCGGATGTGGGATACGACTACGGTCAGGCTGACAGACAGACAGCTCAGGTGGTGATCAAATGCCATCAGTGTTTTCTGTCTGATTGTCTGCAGTGTTTGTTGACGTTTGGACCACCGAGGCACCTGTGCCGTGTGTGAGCGGTTCCTTCAAGGACCGCTTCCCTGTCACCACTCAGCTGGCCCGTGTGGCGCTGGGACGAGTGGCGCCATACGTCTTCGACGGCCAAGTAGACGATGACAGCGACGATGACAACGGTGCGGGCAGGGGAGGGACACAAATATGGTGGCCATGGTGTGGATGGATGAATGGCATTTCTTCTCTCTCTGTCTTTGTGTGTGGTGTAGATTCCGACGGTCATGGCGGCGGTTGGGATGATATGGATGACGACAGCGATGGAGACGGCAGCGGAGGTACGCACGAAGGAAGGAAGGAAAGCACACACAGTCAGTATACACACATGCCTCAATGTCAATCCACATCGGCAGAAGAGGATAGCGACGAGGGTGACGGCGATAACGATGGTGACGATAGCGGTGAGTGGACGGACAGACAGAGGGATGAGGGAGCCAGGGAGACAGGGAGGGATGCAAGGAGGGGCACACACTCGCGTGAATGGATCGATAATGGGCCTTCTCTATGTGTGTGGTGCAGACGGTGATGGTGGCAATGAGAGTGACGAGATGGATGTCGACAGCGAACACGGCAGCGGAGGTACACAGGAGGGAAGGAAAGAAGGCACACACAGAACACCACAGATACCCTTGTCTCGATCCGTATCACACGTGTGTGTGTGTGTGTGTGTGTGTGATTGTGTGTGTCTTGATGACAGGTGAGGATGCATCAGCCGAGGAGGAGAATGGCAGCGTTGACGCGACACACACCAATCGTCATTAAACCTACAGATACGCCGACACCCCTCACAGCCCGTGGTGTCTGTCATTGAATTGACCCTGACTGAACCAGTCTTTTCTCTCTTTGTGTGTGTGTGTGTATCCTGCCTGACCGGCTGCAGTAGCAAGCTGTCCGGTCGCCTCGACGCATCGCATAGCTGTGCGTAGAGTAGATGAGAGGCCGATGGCCCACGGACTCCGCGACTCCCCGGCTGCCGGCCTGCCGGTGTGCATCTCTTTCCCCCACTGTCGCGCCTTGTATCTATCTATCTATCTGTGTCGATAGCCCTCCCTCCTGCTGGCTGCGTGTGACGTATGGTGTCTCTGATCGACTGATTGATGCACACGTGTGTGTGAGGTAGTTGATCTGTAGGTCGCGTGTGTCTGACTCGCCCCCTCTCTCCATCCACATGTCCATTTCTGACGTCCTTGGCTGCCTGCCTGGCTGGGTAGTTGGCTGCCTTTGGGGTGATGCTGTGTCTCATCGATGGTGTCTTGAGGGCTGGTGGGGTGTGAGTATCGACCATGGGTGTGCTTTACTTATACAGCCTTGTCGCTTGCAGTGTGTCGTGACCGTCATTGAAACGCATGGGCTGCCACCAGTGTGTCTGTGCAGAGGAGAAGTCGATGAGACACAGGGGACAGCTGGAGCTGCTGACAGTCGACCAAGTGGATGAAGCTATGTGATTGACTCCACATGAATGTGACAGTTAATTTTGATAGCGCTAGTGCAGTGCATGTGATGCGATAGATACGTCAGCGCACCAGCCGGTGGCGCAATTTCACTTTTCCTTGGTGGAGTTGAGAGCTCGCAGTTTCCAGCAATTTTCGGCAGCGAGGGTGGTCCAGTGCATTGTACAGGACCGATTGTTCTTGCTTTTCGGACGGTGGTGCGTGCGGACCTCACTGATTATCGCTGTGCTTGCCATGAAGAACTGAATGCATGTGCACATTACATTCATCGCTCTGTACAATTGCGTCTCCCCCCTTTGGCTGCTCACGGATCGGACCATACATCCTCATGGATTGATCTGTCTGTCTGTCTGTCTGTATGCATGTCTGTCTGTCTGTCTATCTGTCTGTCTGTCTGTCTGTCTGTCTGTCTGTCTGTCGCTCTCCGCTCTCTCCTTGGGTCGCACCGCACCTGGCGCGCACACACAACAAGAGAGAGAGACTTAGTGTGTACCCCTCCCTCCTTCGAATGGGTTTCTTCACCCGGGCATGCATTCCCTGTGCAGTCTGTCTATGTGCAGCTACCTACCTGTCGACGACACTCCTTCCTCGCTGAGATTGACGCCGGCAATGAAGTGGTGGTTCAATGGCGTCAGCAGCACAGTGTGGCAGGTCGCCGTGGGGCCCTCGCCCCGGGAAACGGTCGGTTGAGGGGGCGGTCCATCAGCGCCACCACATCTGACCCAATGGCACCAGATCTCCGCACCGAGGCCAGTAAAGTCACCAGCGCCGCCAACGATTTGATGGTCGCAGCCAACACAACCCTCGATAACCTCCAGACGCAGCTGAATGTCCTTACCGGTATGCAGGCAGGGAGGCATCCACACTTATCCATCCATCCATCCATCGAGTTCGCATTGTCATGCGTCTTGTGTTGTCTTGCCGAATGGATGAATGTGACAGGCACTTACGCAACAGCTGTCAAGACCAGCCATTCCGACTACGAGAAAAAGCATCCCCAAGGCCAGTGGGTGGTGGATGTATGGGAATATCACTCTCTCTGTATGGCTCTTCTCCTCCCTGCAGATGAATGCCAGAAAGACAAGGACTGCGCAACGACGGGCAAAGAGGGGTTCTGCTTCGAGCACGTCGACCGACACAGGAAAACAGAAACATACAAGGAGGACAAGAACAACCCGCTGTATGCACGTCGCTGCCAGGCAAGGGTCACCTATGCTGTTGGTTCTGTTGGTTCGGATGCAACTCATCGGCCTTGCTGTGTGTGGTGTCCTTTGCCTTTGCAGACGAAGGGCGATCGTAAGGACTACTGCGGGGACAGCGGGGACAAGCGTTCGTCGGTCTTTTCATGTGTTTCCCCTGATTGCGAGCCCAAGAAGCCCAAGAGCAAGCCGTGCAAATGGGGTCTGGAGTGCAAAGACGACGTTTGCGTGTAAGTGGCCGACTCGCTTGTGCATGCACATGTGCACCTGCGAATGAATCGACAGGTCGGATCGTCGTTATACCCTTCTCGAGGGGCGCAGCATCAAATCCACCGCACCCGGACGTTAGCACGCAAACAACACATGAATGAATCGCATGAAACGTGGATCTTTGCTTGCCCAAATGTGATATCCCGCGTGTGTGCAGGCAGATGCTGGTTCGCGGAGCGAAGCGGAGAGCACCGTAACCACCAGGAGCATTGCCCAGGTGAGTCTTGGCTATGCCGTCTGCACATGTCTCTCTCTCTTCCTCTTCCCCTCCCTTTCTCTCTCTCTTTCTCTGTCCATCCCTCGTTCCTAACGCCAGAGGGCCAGATCTGCGTACTCACCTGCAAGAGGTCTCACGAGGGTGCTGATGCTGATCCGAAGCTGCAGGACTAAGTCAACTGGGCCGTTGAGGGCGAGTGCGTGCCGTTTGTCGAGCGGGAGTCCCATTGTAACAAGACAGACTGCCTTCCCCCCAGAGGCTTGCCAGTGCGCCCTCTCTGGGGCCGCAGCGAACCCTATCCCGGTGACGAGTATGTCTGCGCGGCGGATCGTTTTAACTACTGCGACGGCAAAGGACCATACAAACCCTCGGGTACTCGACGAAGGCATATCCATCCATCCATCCATCCATCCAGTTGGCATTTCCTGTGTCTCGCCTTGTCTGAATGCAGTTTGCCCTGTCCCGTCTGAGCATCTCGCTTCCACGCCTGCCGGCAAACATCACGGTCCGTAACTAACGCAGAGCAGCGTACATGTGTGTGTGGGTGTACGTATCCTTGTGTGTGTGTGTGTGTGTGTGTATACAGGCAAATGTGAGCTGACGGTGACGACAGATGAGGGTCTGGACCGCCGCCACTACAAGCACACGTGTCCGGACGGCCTGGTCTGCCTGATAACCAACGAGTACCACGGCTTCGACGGGGACACCGATGTAGGCGTGTGTATCAATGCGGCCGACGTCGAGAAGCTTTGCCGCAAGAGGGACGACTACGACCCAAAGAAGGAGCGCCAGCCGTTCGCGGTTGCCCAGTACTACAATTTTCAGCACACAGAGTGCGAGTACGTCTGGGTGGACTACGTCGCCTCCCGCAAGACAAGGGGGCCCGTCTGCGAGCGGGTCGACCGCTCCGGGCCGGATTGGTTCAAGTTCTGCGCCGCCAAGGACATCACCCATGAAACCCTCGAGTTCACACGTACGCACGCGTAGTGCTTTATACACACAAACACACCGATGCACCTGCACGCGAAATGGTCCTTCCCTCTGTTCTCATTCGTACGCGTGTGTTGACTGTGTGCAGCTAGTGACAAGTGCGCCGAGTACACCAAGGAATTCGCCAAGAAGTTCGCCGCCTACACCAAGCCCTCGAGACCACTGCTCGGATTCCCCCAGCCCTCTTTGTATGACTCCAAGCCCGCATACTGCACAGGATCCGAGACGGCCAACCTGCCATGCGGCCCGTCCAAGAAGGCGTGCATCTGCAGCATCAAAGGAGACCAATGCAAGACCAAGGTTCGTGGGTAATGTGTGGCTGGCTGGCTGCCATGTTATGTTTGTGTTGATATGTTTGTTTACGTCTGTGCAGGAGGGCTTCCAGGCCGATATCGATGCTAAGAATGCTCGTGAGAAAAACGAGAAACGCTCCCGCGCCGAAGTTGAACTCGAAAGCTACGATGGAGGTGAGTGCACTGCAAACACACACAGAGGCCACATCCATGCGGGCGTGTACACATGTGTCTGTCTGTCTGCATGCGTGTGTGCTGTGCGAGCAGGCACCTGCTTCTATTTCACCCACGGTGGGTCGGTGAGTCAGAACTGCGGCGGCGGACTGGTGTGTGTGGTGGGCACGCGCACGCCAGAGGAGGGGAGACGGTCGGGGAAGTGCATGCACAAGGAGAAGGCAAAGGATAAATACTGCCATGGCGCGCCGGTCAAAAGGGACAACTATGGCCGATATAGCTGCCAGCCGTTCAAGGAGGGC